TCTGGAGGCCGTGGAGAAGCAGATCCGCGACCTGGTGGAAAGGCAGGCCCAGCTGAGAGAGCGGAGAGCTGGAAACATCCCGGGCTGACGCTCACAAGTCCGGGGTAAGTATACAACACGCTGCTAACTCTCCCACCACCTCTACTCCGTGTGTTTCTCTGCAGAGGCACCCAGGACGCGATCTTCCCAGATGTCTTTCACTCCGGCGCCAGGACACCATGGACCCTGGGTGCACCCGCAGCGGAAAACGCGAGCCAGGCCCCGGGCGACGACCTCTCCCCCTCCGCCACCTCTGGTCTTCGAGATCTCCACCCAGAACCGCTTCACTCCACTCCGCGAGACGGAACGCGATGCTGTGATCATCGGAGACTCCATTGTCTGGCACATCCGTGCTACGTTAGCTGAAGGTAAAGTGCTCACTCACTGTTTCCCTGGTGCTCATGTTCTCTATGTTTCTGTGCAGATACCCGCGATCCTGAAGGGCGACGAGAGCCCCGGAGCGGTCGTGCTTCACGCGGGTGTTAACGACACCTAGCTATGACAGACGGAGACACTGAAGAGTGACTTCAGTAGCCTGATCGAGATGGTGCGCAGCACATCGCCCGCGACGACGCTCATCGTGTCAGGACCGCTTCCCACAAGATCCAGGGGGCGTGGTTGGATCCACATCTAGGGGGTGGAGATTGGTAAGTTAAGGGGTGGAGATGGGTAGGTTTAGGGGCGGAGATGGGAGGGTTTAGGGATCAGGGGGTGGAGACGGGTAGGTTTAGGTATATGTAAGGTGGGAGGAGTTGGATCTGGATCCAACCACGCCCCCTGGATGTTGTGTTCTACAGTGAGGATCATCTCGCAAGCTTTAGCATATTGCGTGCATTTGAACACAGAACTCTTCAGCTGCGCTGACGGCACACGCTCTGCTGCTGCTGCTGGACACTAAACACCGTTGAGCCACTCTTGACAGTCACGGTAGCACAGTCTCGTGTTGTTTCCATCAGCACGGCAAATTTTTTCATCACTAATTGATGGATGTCTAAAATATAAAAATAAGGAGAAGCCTAAAACAGTCCCGAGGCCCGGCCCGCGTCTGAACTATGGCGTGAAAATTGGCCCGAAGCCCGGCCCTAGGGTCGTGACTTTCACTTAACATTTTATGAAAATCAAGCTCAAATGATAACAAGGTTTTTGACCAGAGAATGACGGAGATCTGTGTTTTGTCTGTCATCACAACGGCCGCATCTGAGGCAGCAAGTGCATCGCATTATACGCTTTCATCAACTTACAGGTTATAACATTTATTGTAGCTATATGGGCGCTTAGTTTTTCTTGTCGTTTAATACACTTGGCCAAAATCTCATGATATAGATGATGAAGCACTATATGCACAGAATATTTAAAACGTAGCCTACAAAAGTAGCCTATATCAGTTAAACTAGACGGCAAAAGTTATTCTCCGCTCTTCAAACACACAAAAAACATTAGCCTTTACAGACATAGTGTTTTAGCAAAGAAAACGCTGTACGTATTCAAACATCAGTTATTTATTATTTACCCTTGCATTGCAAACAAGCC